CACACCTGCGAGCCTGGTGGACGTGGGTGTTTCTTCCAGAAAAACTCTGGGATTTGGGGTAAAATGCTGGGTGCGTTTGCTGGGGTGGCAGGGACGGGGTTCGTGCGCTGTGTGCATGGAGGGGGGAAGGCTCAGGGCTCTCGGCACATCCTTGGCACCCCTGCGTGCACTGGGATGCCGCCGTGGCTGCCCGTGCCAATATCCCCTCTCCCCCGGGCAGGCTGCAGTTTCCACTCGCCATCCGTGGGGCTGGGGGCCGCTGGCAGGCCCGTGCTGGGGCTGGGGAGGGGACCCAGCCGCTGTGCCAGCAGGACACAGGCGGTGGCACACGCCCTGTGCTGCCCCACTGCCAGCCTCGAGTGCCGGCTGAAGGAGCGCAGGGCCCCGGAAAACGAGGACAAGGTAGGGATGGGCCCTGCTCCCTGTGCCGTGCTGGTGTCTGTGTCTGTGTCTCTGCCTGCCCTCACTGCTGTCCCCACCTGCAATGGGACACCCCACCCAGCTGGGTGAGGCAGTCGCATCACCCTGAGGTGCTGTGGGGATGTCGGGGATGGGCAGGCCCCCAGCCCTGTGCTGACCCATGGATGATGAGCTCTCCTCCCCGTTAGGTGACGGTGTCCTGTGACGATGGCTGGACGCTGACGGGCTGTAACGCCGTTCCCCAGAGCTCCATGGGAGCCTATGCCGTGGACAATTCCTGCCTGGCACCCGCTGGCCCTGGCAGCAGCTGGGCCATGGCCATGGCCATTTGCTGCCGGCGCCGGCAGTAGGGCCAGGCTGAGCTGGAGGCTCCTGTGGCACAGCGGGGATGGAGGCTTGGCTGGAACGGTGTCACCCTGTCCCTTTCCAGGGCTTCCAGAACAATCCACGCTCTTGACATGCAGCTGAGGACCTCCACGCTTGGGCTGCCGTGCTGGTGGGGGATGAATGTCCCTCTGCCTCACACGCAGTGGGGTCAGGATGCAGGACCAGCATCCAGAGCGGCCCTGCAAGAGCTCTCCAAGCATCCCCCATGCACCAGAGCCATCCCAGAGCCCTCTCCCTGCCCTGCACCGAGTTTTCCTATAAACACCCTGACAGAACAAGCCATGGTGTTGTCACCCAAAACAAAATCTACCACCTCTTTAAAGAAAAAAGGATTGTGAGGCTCACTCCTTCCTTTCCTGGTTAGCTGCTCATTAGTTGTCAGCTAATGCTGCTTAGCACCTGAAAAATCTTAGTTTAGCCATTTTTGGGCAGTTTTATAATTGCCTACTCGTATTCCTAGGAGACTTCTTTACTTCTGAGTCAAGTGCAAGGGCTGTAGTTTAAACAGCCTGCTTGGTTAATTAGATTTTTTATCTGCATTGCTATAGTCAGCTACTGCTTCATTAGTGCTTTTTTTGTTAAGTCAAAGTTAATGATCTGCTGGTGTTATGTGTCAACAGTTTCAGGTCTTCCCAAGACACATAGAACTGTAGGAGGCTGCAATTCCTTAAAACAAAAATAGGATGAAGGAAAAGCTTTCATAGCACCTTAGTTTTTACATTTGTACCTTAAATATTTATTTGGAGTTTTATAAATGAACATTTTATAAATGTCTTTTTAAAATAAAACTTGCAGACCTGTGCTCTTGTGGTCCATGCTCTGGCTTCATAGACATCCCTCTGGGGAACTGGTCTGGAAGAGGGAAGGGGGATCCAGCAGGGATTCTGCTCACCCCAAGAGCAGCCCCAGCCCCCAGTGGGATCTGGGATCCCAGGTGCTCCTGGATGACAGCTGGCACTGTTGGAAGCTGGCACAGCCAGCACAGGGCCCTTGCCCACAGCTGGGTTGTGCTCTGTGGACTGTGTTATCCACACAAACACAAGACCAAAAGTTTGTTTTAACAACAGAGGTGCAGGGCAAGAGCTTCCAGTTATGGAAACAAACATCACCCAGCTTTGGGAATGTGCCCTTGAACTTGCATTGTTCCTCCACTTGGGAAGGGCTGGAGCCCCAGGAAGGAGACAAAGCTTGGCTCAGAGAGATGCCAACAGCAGGGAAAGGCTGAGAGCACTGAGATGCACCAGAAGCCACCAAAGCTGGGTCTCACTTTCCTCTCAGCCTTTAGCAGCCTCCTGCTACTGCGATATATCATTTTTGTGGTGTTATCTGAGGACAGAAGAAAAAAAAGATGCAGTTTGATACCACAAGCTCCATGTTAACCTGTCAGACTTGGCTGGGTTGGGTGTTTTTCCTAATACAAAAGCCCCCTGCAGTTCTGTTACTCTGGCTTTAATTGGCAAGGGAAGACAAATCCAGCACAAAACATCACTTTGAAAGGTTGAAACTAATTCCAACTTGTTAAATAAAGCTGGCAAAAGCCCAACCCTAATCTAAACATGTAATTATATAACATGGACATAATTACAGCCCATAATTTGATCAGCTGGAACCTGAATTTTGCACAAAGAGGCAGAAAAGAAAAAAGGATGTCAGCCTGAGAGCTCCTGGACAGCTCTGACTGACTGAGGGTGATTTTTCAGCAGACTCCTTGGGCTGTCACCTCTGAAAACACACATCAGGATTTCAGCTCTGCTGCCTTCCCTGGGAGAGGGGAGGATCCAGCACAAGGTGTGAGCATGTTCCACGCCTGATAAGCCAGACAGAGCTTCCCCAGCTCAATTCAAGCCTTCATAATCCTGGTGGAAGGAAACAATATTAAAAGATTAGCCCTTACTTTGTGCCTCGTACGTGGGTAGGTGGAAAAGCCTCTCACATTCAGGAGAGCAGGGCTGATCCCAAGGATGCTCATCCCAGTGCTGGCAGCAATTTGCAACGCCCAGTCTGTGCTCCCAGGACCACCAGTGGAGAGCAGAGGCTGGATCAGGCTGGAAAAGTGAAAGTCCTTGTCCTTAGAGCAGGTGACAAAGGCAGAGTGGGGATGGCAGCTCTGGCTGTAGCACCTGGTTCCCAAATAAGTGAGTAATGGAACAGCAGCTCCGTGTGCACCTCTCTGCCCCTTGCCCCCGTGGGAGGCAGGATGAATTCACGCCCAGCTCGCCCACAAATCTTGGATCTGACACACAAAATCCGCTCTAATCTGCCACTGTGAGTGTGGCCAGGGTAAATCACTCTGCTGAGGCCAGGAGAGGCTGCACAGAGCTACAGGTGTGACAGTGCCCCAGCACATGCCGTGGCATGAGGACAAACAGCAGCTCCAGGGCCACTCAGCTGCTTCCACTGACTCTGGGCAGGAGCCAGAACAGCAATCAGGGCACCCCTGGGGAGCTCAGCATCTGCAGGGCTGGCCCAAGGAGGTTCAGGATAAGAGGATCAACAAGACAAGAGCGTAGCAGCGTGTGCACAGTCTAAAGATTACACTAGTTTTCTGTGAAAGGAATAACTTTATTCCATTGACCAGGAATCCCAAGACTGTTCATCAAGACTGCCTATTTTTCCAGTGCCAAATGTCTACTCATTAATCGGACAATATCTCCCCGAGTGCTCACAGGCAGGCTGTGGCTGCTCCTCACTGAACATTTTGTAAGCTGTATAAAAACATTTTCATCCAAAAAGATTGGCAGTAAAAATTACAACATATAAATGCATCACAATTTACACAAAAACTAATTGTTGAACTCTATTTTCCAAAAAATAATCTTCAGCAGGTTCAAATGACAGCAGCTGGAAACAAAAATAAGTGACCAAGTATCATCTTATTGCAAATTATAACCACTGACTTTGTACAAGCGTGAGCAGAACGGTGAAAAAGTTTGTATTGGTTTCAAGTATACACAGTGGTGATGAGCCATCCTGATGCAATTCCCACCAATGCTTCCCTGGGCCTGCGGCTATCCAGGATGTTGTTTCCATAGGAAATCACAGGAACCTGAAGTGACAAGTGGTGCCAACCCATAGGAACATGACCAGCTTCTCCCACCACATCACCGCTGTGTACTGACTCCTTGGGAAGATTCATGAGCCATTCCCAAAGCATTTGGGGGGGTGGGGGAAGGAAGGAAAGGGGGTGTCCGTAAGAAATGATTGGTTGGAAATTAATTTAAAAGGTGTCACATTTCAAATGTCCCGGCACATCATCAGAAACATTTATAAAATGCTATCTCTGCCACGTCTCTGTGAAGATGTTGTCTGGAAAAGGAAAGGGAGAGGCTCACTAGGGTGCCCCCCTGCCCCTGCACTCCGTGACGCCGGCTCTCCTACCCCACAATAGGTTAGGAAGCTGTTCAGCTGACATCACATCCCGTGCTTACTTCCAACAGTGAAATGACTGGTTACTTTCAATATTAGTGCACAACAGTGAAAAGCTGTCTGCTGCTCCGTGTTTTGGCAGCAGCGTGTGAAAAGAAACAAAAAAAGGCACTTTTTGGCTGGTTGTGCCTTTAACTTGGCAAATTTGTCTATTCTGGAGGTACCCAGGCACTCCTTAAGATGTCCCCCGTTTCTGTGCATGTTTGTTTTTATAATTTTTTTAAAGTAAGGCAGAATCCATAAATAAAGGCAAAAAGCAGTGCAGAAAATGTGACAAACACAAAATGTACAAAAGATGAAGTTAGTTGGCACAAAAGAAGCTTGAATCCAGAGCCAGAAATCACTGAACTGCACTTGACATAGAAAATAAAACTGTGCTCAAATCATCCCAACTGGTTTCCAGTTATTTGTGAGCAAATTAAAAGAGCTGTGATATTTTAAACGTTGCCTGGTCAAGTGAAAATACAAACAAAGCCAATTCTTTCTTTCCCCGTGTTAAAATTGCTATAAAATCTGCACAACAGTGTTCCCAGCTCACTCAAGGAATTATTCATCATATACAACCAATACCAACTTTCTCAGTAATTTCAAAGCATAAGCAAGTGATTGCAGATCCATGACTGAGACTACATTTTATTCAATATGTCTCCAAAGGTTAAAAATATTCAATGAGTAAAACTGCAACAGAATTCCTTCTTAAAGTGCTTTTTTCTTTTAAACTACTCATTAACTTTTTTATTTTTTTTTTTTTTAAATTCATCAACATCCTTGACTAATAAATGCTTGCATACCCAGAGAACAAAGCTTTTCTTGTACTGCCCTTCCCAGTTGTCTGAAGGGTTTTTGGAAGGGTACTGGGAAAGATGACTCATCTCAGAGCTCCTTAACCAAACCATTCTGTAAGGAATCACTCTTCTTACAGAGCAATCCTGCTGGTCTTTCTCATCAAGAGCTTTACAAATTAGCAGGGAGACATATTAAATACAGAAGTCCTTATGTAAACCCATTCTTCAACTAATATTTTACAATGAAATGTAACTCATCACACATCTTTACAGAAATTTGAATATTCCTATTCAATATTATCAGAAAGATTAAAAATTTGCCCTCCATACATAAGGGCAGTCTGTTTCTTTTTTTTTTCCTGTATAAAAACCAAAAGAATTTTTTTTTTTTTTGCAGCATCACAGAAAAGCAACAGTTTTACATTCACTCATTTAATGTTCACATAAAAATTCAACCACTAGCGTTTGTGTATTTGATAAAATCTTCTTGACAAACTTGGTTTCGGTGTTTTGGACTGTCACAAGCTACTGCAGGTGAAAATGCAGTTTTCTAGACCATTTGTTGATCTGAAGCCTTTGTGGCTAAAAAAATGCTTTTATCTTTCAGGGAAACAACCTCTTCCAGCATCTCCTCTGGTCCTGTAAAGCCACTGCTCCCCCAGACTTCCCATGGCATAAGCAACAGGACTCCAGTTCCAGCAGGTACCAGGCATTGAGTGTTTGAGTTGGTTCCTGTGTTCACAGGGATCTCTTCTAAGGGTCAACATCATCAAGGTCACTTTTAGGCTCCCCAATCATCATAGGAGACTCTGAGCCCTTTCAAACACACAAGGGATGGGGAGAGAAGGACACAGTCACTTTTGTAAGGTGCACAGTTATTGTGTGGATGGTTCTGACCCAAGCCCCAGGGACCAGCTGCCCCACAGAGCTGACAGCAGAGGGTAAATCTGCCCTTATTTTACCTGCTGCAGGTGCCTCTCTCCATTCTCATTGGCAGGGCTGCTTTCTGACCCATTGCTGCTTCCAGACTGATCCTTCTCATTCAGCAGGGCTGTGGCATAGGCCAGAGTGTCCTGAGTTGGAAACAGTCCAAGAGAGTGTCAGGGGTCATAGTGATCCCTTCATTTCACAATTATTATTTTTAAAATGTTTATTGTTTTATTATTATTGTTTTTAAACAATAATAGCTGCTGCAGTGAGACAGCTGAGTCACCACTGGTAATTGTGAGTATTCACTAATATCACTCAAGGGTTAATTTTTTTTTTCAGGAACAACCACAGGGTCTGAGCTTCTAAAGGAAAAATAGCCTGAAATGCACTGAAATATCACAGAATCATTAGGGTTGGAAAAGACCTTTTAAGATCAACAAGTCCAACTGCCAAATCAGCACCACCACCATGTTCATCACTAAACCATGGCCTCACATTTTTTTTTAACACTTCCAGGGATGGTAACTAAAGCTGCCAAACCCAGATGCTTTCAAGAAAAGAAGTAAGCAAGGTTAACATCCTCTGCCAGGACTGACACATACCTGTGCTGAAATAGTGCGCTGGAAGGTTTTTGCAGTGGATGTTTCATTGGACACGTTACTCTGGGGAGCCCAGTAATGTTCAGACATCTGCATAAAAAGCCAAGAAAGCCATAAATTTGCCATTTGATTTTCACTTGTGTAAAGCCTCAACCACTTGTGATGGTGGGTGAACTAAGTCTGGAACAAGCTTCCTGAATTCTCTAGCAGTGAGCTGGAGATCTGGGGCACAGACACTTTAAATGCAGCCACAAAGTTTATTGTCCCTCAGCTGAAACCAACTTCTGCTGAGCTCCGAGTCTGCAAAGTGTCCTTGGATATTTATGAAAGATATGTTGGCCAAACTGTGCTGAGTTTAGAGGGAAGAACAAACACTACACGTGTGGGAGGAAAAGCTGTATCAGTTAACAGCTGTGCTTTGTGCAAAGCTGTGATGATTCTGTAAGGAATCCAATCATTTAAACATTCTCCTGCATCAACACACAGGCAATGGAAAACTGCTTTCTTAAAAAAAAAAAAACAAAACCTGAAGCCTTCCAATACGAATACAGTGGCACTGAAAGCTTCCCGCATAGCAAAGAATAATCACTGCAACCATTCACACTTGGTTTTATTCACTGTAAATGCATTTATGCCTGGAACACATGGGGGGCTACTGAAGTTCTGGCATTGCATCAGATTTAGTTGCATCGAAGTAGTCCTTGTGAAAAATGAAGTAGCTTGTATTTTGTCTTTAGAGCCATCTCAGTGAGCCATGCAGAGGATGGAGATTATCTATCCATCATGAGTGTTGTAAACAAGTGACAATTTCCCTTTTACAGCCAAATTACCTTTTTCTGTAGCCACTGCACAGCCCAACTCCAGTGGTGTGAATTCTCCTTGAAGTAATCTTTTGCAGTAGGGCACCTTGGGAATTGAAATTATATTCATTAGTTAGGAACAAGGCATTCTGGCCAACACAAAAACAAAATACAAAGACTCCTCTCTCTGCACTGCTGCCCTCTGTGTGCATTGTTATCACTGCAAACTGACTTTAACTCTACAGCCCTGTTGTTAATTGAATTAGCAAGAGCAATAATGTCCAGTAAAATTTACTCAAAGCAATCTACTCCACAGATTCACATATTTCAGAATTATGCTTTATCAGGACATATGCCAAGCTCTAAACAAAGAGAATTTAGGAATCATAATATTTCAAAAATCTTGAACAGTGTCCCTGTGTTTATCTGGTGTTAATGTCAGCCTCCTGCTCTGCAAATTGGCCTTTTTCTTTATAAATAGCAATTACCACTTGTTACCTGAGCAATCCCTTCAGGTACCAACCAGTAAAAATCTCACTTCATACTGGTAGCATGTGCTACCAAGACCTTGCACCAGCAACAAAGGATAAAACTGATCAAAAAGAGGAGTAGTAGGTTTTATAATAGTCACAGATGGATCTAAGGCAGGGATGAGGTTAAACTCTGAAACCTTCATTTACTCACTTCTGAGCCAGAGTTACCAGGAACTTGACACACTGGTAGCAACGGCTGCTGTCCACGTGGTTGCTGTGGTGCATCAAGGCTGTGGGGAGAAACACATGGATTAGAAACCACAACCCAGATTTCCATATACCAGCCAGTCTGGAAACAAAGATGAAGCTAAAATTTTAAGTTAGGGAATAGATTTTGTTTCTACAGATGTTAGCATAAGTATTTGTGTTAAATACAAATGCTGTAAGTGCTGGCAGTCTTGAGTACTTCCACAACTCTACTGGATTAAAAATAGAACTGCTGCATTTTCACTTTGATCTTTCAAATGCAGTACCTGAATTTTAAACAGCCCTAATGCAGTTATTCTTCCCATATAATCCATTCTATGTTAGATAATCACTATGGTTACATTTGTCTGAAGGAAAAAAAAACACTGTCTGAAACCCCCATAAATGAACCAGATCACCAGCTTCCACCTGGATCAAAGTTTGCAAAGCCAGAGGAATGTTTAAAGCTTCTTCACATAAACAAGCATAGCAGAATTCAACAGCCATGAAACTGTTCCATGGGAGACTCAGGCAAAACCCCAGGCCATTCCTACCAAGATGTTTCTGTACAATGAATTCCCACCTCTTTAGCAAAATTCTTTGACTGAGGAGGAGCACAAAGATTTCCACGGAGCTACCCCAGTCAGATTTGCTACTCAAAAGTTGCTCTGTCCATAGCAGTCAGCAAAGAACGCTGTAGTGAAACCTCCAAAGCTGGGAAAAATTGTTTGGGAACTGCAAATTGCCAGTTTTAATACTGTTGAAGCAGAGCAGATGATTAAAATTACAGCACTGCTGTACTACAAATTATGCACAAACATCCTATTAAGGACCACCAAAACCTATTATTTGCTGATTTCCCTTTCCTGGATTAAAACTAGTCAATGTGAGGGATGCTGTTCAATGCTGTTGTGAGGAAACTTCAAGGTAAAACTACAACTTTCACTCCCAAACCTCAGGGCAGTTCTCAAAACCTTCAACATAAAAATCCAATTGAACACTTGCACTTCTCCTCAGCAGAGGAAAAAAGGTCATGTATTGCCCAAGTTAAAGCACAGAATTGGTCCAACTGGGACCAATTTATCCAGAAATTAAAATAATCACTTAGCTATTCTCTTACACTGCACATTTCCTTCTCTGCCATCAGCCATACATGGAGACTACTAAACAGGGGAGAGCACTGATGAGAGAAACAAAGAACAAAGCTAAATATTCCTTCTCACTAAATCAAGATCCAAACTAACTGAAGGTGAAAGCCACAGTCTGAAGCAGCTCCTCACCCAAACAGCCATGAAAGAGCTGCTCTAACCCATCAGAGGGGCTCTCTGTGTTACCCCACATTTCATTTACACACCAAAGCTGCTCCTCCTGATGCACATGAAATAAGCTCTCTTTACTTCTGGGATTTTTCTGTTGCTTTTGAATGCTTCACTAACCTCACTTCAGTGAAGTTCTGTATGTGATGGAAACACAACACTCTGTATGAGCAGCAACAGGTGGGAGCCACCTGTCCCACTGCAAGGCTCTACTGCAGCTAGCAGGGCAAGCATCCTGCTGTGCTGAACCATTTTCTTTTATGGTAATTAGGATGCTGACAAAACAAAAAGTCTGGCAGTTTCTTGAGAAATGTTAAGAAATGAAAAAATAATTTCAAGGTTACAGGATTCAAACAGCTCCTCTATTATGGTAATCAAAGGTACTTTTCTTCCCCCTCCCCCATTACACATACACCCTGATCTGCCCCTTATTTAAATAAGTTAGCTCTTTTCCCCAGATCCATTCCTTTCTAGTTTGCTGTCACTATAAAATTCCAATGCTTAATTTGGATTTTCTTAGAGCATTTTTGGAGCGACAGTGGCCAAATGAAATGTGTCAAGTTTTTTTCCCTAAGAAGTAGAACAGTTTAGGAGGATTAGGAACCAGGAGATGGAGTGAACCACTAGCTCCATCAGGGTTAGTAGGAGACAGGAGTGTTC